GTTTTTGAGTTATAAGCATTTTTACATGTCCAGACACCCCCCTTTTACATGGAGCCCCCTCCTCTAACATGGGGTCTAAAATAGATTAAAAAAATAAGTGAAAAAATAAAAAAAACAGTACTGAAACAATATTCATGTGTGGGGTCATAATAACCCAACAGTTTTTAGTGCACGTCAACAATTTTCTCTTATTGAATATTATGTTTCTTGGCAAAGAAAATGTCCACAACTTTTAAAAAGTGGTCCTGAGTGTGTTCCACAGAAGAAGCAGGGTGTGAGGAGCTACTGAATCTTCTCTAATGCAGAGTTTTTAATGGATTCCACACTTTAAAACTGTATGCAAATCCATGTGCACGTTCCTGGATATGGAAATATGTTCATGAATCTAATGCATATAAATCGTTCCTACAAATTGTAGATTATAGGCATTGGAAATAGTTCTAAGTTTTACTGCTGCAACAAACTGTTGTTGTGTTTCTCTCCTTTAAAAAACACTAAACTCTCATTTTTCACATTCTTAAAAAGTGGAAAAGAACATTTTGTCATTGCACAGGAAGCCCAACATGGAGCCAATTCATTATCAGAACCGGGGACTGGTTTCTCTAAAGGTCACACAAATGAAATTCAAATGAGGTTGAATGGTTCTGCGGTTGTGGTAGACCTTTTTGGGTTGTCAGTGCAACATTTACTAATTACACTATGTCACATGCCAGATTTCCTGTGGAAAAATGGTAAACACAGAAACACCAATAGGTTTTTTCCAATCACTTCTTTGCAGCGCGATCACATACAGTTCAGTTTAGCTTCTTTAAGCATCAACCTCTACATAAAATGTTGAGCATAAATTTTCTACTCCCCTCTGAATGTGTTTCCAGTTTTTTTTGTACCCATGAACAGTGCAGAAGGCACTGCAGCTTGTTTCTTGAATGCAAAGTGGAGCAGAATAAGCTTGTTTTCCCACTAAAACTCTGCTTCCTATAACCAGCTTGTTGACGACTTTTTGCACGTCTCTCTAAATAATTTCTTCCCAGTAAAAATATACGAAGCCAGAAATTAATTTTAGTTGATTGTAAAACCAGAAAAAAACAAATCAACATTTTATGGTCAAATGAGAGCGGGGGAAAACAGTCTTTGCTGACAAATTATGCTATTGATTTTCATGTACATTAAACCTGGACTCATATATCACTAAATAATACATCCTGTTCATGTGTAGACAGGCCTAACCTTTATTCTGCTGCCAGAGGGTTTCCTGATCCAGACACGTGCTGCATAATAATCTGTCCTCGCTGGACTGTGCAGTACAGCCAAACGCTTCCTCTTCCTCTTTTGATCGCTGACTGCCACTCTGTGGTCATAAATATTTAACATGTTTTTTCACTATGGTTTTTTTTACAAGCCTTAAAATAATACATTATTGAATTATGTGTATAAGTTTAAATTGTATCATTTGTTGTAAAAGTTGGGTTGTATAAAATGTAAATAAAAACAGAATGCAATGATATTCAGATTACATAAAACCATAATTTATTCACAATAAAACACTAAATGTGTTAAATGTACTAAAACTTTTTTAAAAAGGTAAATTAGAATTTTATTTAAAGCAACAAATCTAAAAAAAGTTGAAACATACTGTTTATCCCTGAGGACAATAATCTCTCTCTCTCTCTCTCTCTCTCTCTCTCTCTCTCTCTC